AAAAAAAAAAAAAAAAAAAAGGACTTGGAGAAGACTACAGATCCTAAGCATCCCCTTCCTCCCAGCAAGTCAGGAATGTCATAAACAATCATACAAGCCTGTATCAAATGAGAAAACACAGGCCAGCTGTCAGTCTCCTTTCAGTACCAAGAAAATTAAAAGAAAGCTATTCAAGCATTTATGGCGAGGCAAATAAAAATAGAGGATTCAGTAGGCTCGAAAAAAATTGTAGCAACTCAGAGACAGCTCCTAAATGGCTGGTAAAAAAAAAAAAAAGTCCTAATTTATCAGTTAAAACTAGTGAAAAATGGAACAAATATGCAGAAGAAATGTAGAAAATGGCATGAACCAGAGTCAGGGTCTGGAATTAATGAAGCTCTGGTGAGGGACGCAGATGAGCAGCATGATGAGTGCCCCCTGCCCGAGCGCTGCACAGTGGCCAAGTGCAGAGCTCCTGCAGCTGGAGGCCATGTTCATGCACTGCTGTCCTAGCCCAGGACACCTGTTTCACCCTCAGGACAGAGAAAAAGACCTCGGGCTCCTGCTAGATTCTCAAATAGAAAAGACGGGAGAAGAGTTGAAAAGAAAAAACCACAGTTAAAGCCAAAGTCCTTAGTTTTCCATGTTGTCATGATAAAAGAATGCACAAAAGTGACAAGGAGGCTTTTCTATTTAACTTTTCAATTAGGCTTGACAACTGGAAGGAACGTCTCAATGTTTCGATCTGTTTCAATCTCAATCTGTTACAAAGAATTTTGAACATCTGAAGACACAGAATTTTCCCTAACTACATGGTCCTTCTTGTGTGATCGTGGGAACCTCACTTCTTTGGCTCTCGATCAATCAGGAAGACGATCCTGTGGGTTCCTAACCTGTTACCTTCATATTTGGCTTCTGATGTTGAGGAAGGGGAGAGAGAACATTAGAAGGAATACATGTTAGCTTAGAAGGAATACATTTGTTAGCTACTTATTATGTACTTCCTTCCACATGGCGAGGGTATAAACCCGTGTGGCATTCACAGGCTCCCATTAGGCCCTTGAACACACAGAAGCCACTGAAAGCTCAACAGTCTGTGTAGTGACAGGCTTGGCCTCAGCTCACATTTCCACACGAGGTCAGAGCAATCTCAACCACTTGGAGGAAGCCTTCCTAAGCTTAGGAAGAGGTGTTTCTCCTCCAGGTCCCAACAAAGACTCTGGGCCCGGGGGAGCCCAGGCACAGGAGTGTGATGTGGCAGGACTGGCGCAGCTGCCTGGGCACCCTCGGAAAGCCCAGGCTCACCACGGCTGCAGCTGGAACAGTTCTGAGACCAGTTTCTCCAGAGAATGAGTGGGCTGCCAGGGCTCCCTCCCACTCCCACCTTGCCCCTTGTAGAAGTTCCTCTACAGGTCATTCCCTGACATCTGACCTGTAACAGCTCTGCTTACCGTCTTCACAAAGTATAAACTATCTTCACTGTCCAGAGGCACGATTCTACAAGAGGAAAGAGATGGGAGAGACCTATGTTGCATTTACAATGTTCTCTTATTGGCAGCAACCCAAAGACCCAGATTTCTCTCAGGGATTTTTTAAAACCCTTTAGTTAAACATACGCAGAATTGGCATGCAGACCACCTGAAGGGCATTAGGACTGCCCCCTCTGCCCACCCCTCATATTTACAGTGGGAAGCATTCAGGGTACAGGGTCTCAGCTGAGTGCAGCCAGCCCAGGGCTTAACCCTGGAGTGGTACCCCTGCCAGGTGGGAACTGTGAAAATAGCCATATTAGTGGCAACAAGGTAGCCTCTCTTTTGTTTTGGCTCCAAAAAAATGCCCGAAATGAGGATGTACCACAAACATACACTTACCTTCCCTGGTTATTCACAGAGTGTATATGAAAAGTCATCTTGGAGCTAAGACCCAAAATTAAAACAAAGCAGAACAAAAGTCAGTTTGCTCTGCTGACCACAGGGTTTGTGCCCGCCCCAGACACCTGCTGCTGCAGGCGTGTCTGTGCTGTGCCCTCAGCACATTTGCCAAGTGTGGGGCCAGCGTCTGATACCAGGCATGGCCCTGTCCCTGCAGATTCGCAGGGCTGTCTTGACTCTGGGTCACAGCAAGAGAAAACCATGTGACAGGACTGTCCACTGCAGACCAGAAGCAACCCTCTCCTGGCCTGCAGCCTATACCAAAGCCTTGACATATGGTCCTGATCCTCCTCCATTTCACTACCTCAGGATCAAGCTGCCATCCCTGTACGCTGCTTGCGCAGAGGCCAGATTACATGTTACTCTAATCTGATTTGCTAATCTGATGCAGTTCAAGAGTAGTCAGCAAAGTGACCTGTGGAGAGAAGGGAGTGGAGCTCTAGGTGGAGGACCAGCGCTGGGAGATTCCTCCCGGGTGTTCTCTTCTTGTTCCTTCTCCTGCTGGGGTGGTGTGCCCAGTCCTAGGAGGTCTTGGGATTGAGAGGCTGCCTTGGAAAAAGCTGAGTGGCCTAGACAAGGCCTTGATGAAAGGAGGAATGGAATGAATGTCAGCTGTGTCAATTATAACAGAAGAGACCCCACTGCACAGTAGCTAACATTTATATGCCCAATCACTCTACAAGGTGGGAAGATGAGGAAAGAGATGCACAAAGAGCTATCTCTCTTTTTTTTACTGAAGTATCTTTGATATATAATCTTTTCTTTCTTATTAAAGTATTGTTAATATACAATCTTATGTTGCTTTCAAATGTACATCACAGTTATTCAACAGTCCCCGTGATCAACTTATACTGTGATTGTGAATTACTGTGTCCCTTTATCTCCCTCACTCTCCCACCTCCACCCATCCAACCCCTCTCCCTTGGTAACCACTAGTCACTTCTCAGTGTTTGAGTCTACTGTTGTTTTGTTCCTTCTGTTTTGCTTTGTTTTTACATTCCACAAATAAGTGAAATCATATGGTACTTGTCTTTCTCTGCCCTGTTTATTTCACCAAGCATAATACCCTCTAGATTCATCCATGTTGTTGCAAATGGCAGGATTTCTTTTCTTTTTATGGCTTAGTAGTATTCTATTGTGTATATGTACCACCTCTTCTTTATCCATTCATTTACTGATGGACAACTTAGGTTGCTTCCATATTGGCTATTGCAAATACTGTGGTGATATACTTAGGGGTGCGTATATCTTTTCGAATCAGGGATTTTGTTTTATTTGGGTAAATTCCTAGGAGTGAAATTACTGGGTCAAATATTTCTTTTTTTAGTTTTTTGAGGAACCTCCATACTGCTTTCCATAGTTGCTGCCAATTTACCTTTCCACCAACAGAGGAAAGGTTCCCTTTTCTCAACATCCTTGCCAACACGTGTTATTTCTTGTCTTTTGGATAGTGGCCATTCGAACTGGTGTGGCATGTCCCTGATGATCAGCGATGTGAAGCATCTTTTCATGTGCCTGTTGGCCATTTGTATCTCTTCTTTAGAGAATTGTCTGTTCAGGTCCTCTGCCCATTTTTTAATTGGGTTATTTAGTTTATCTGGTGTTGAGGTACATGAGTTTTTTATATATTTTTCATGTTAACACCTTATCACATAACCTGTTTATGAATATATTCTTCCAAACTATAGGTTACCTTTGTGTTCTGCGGATGGTGTCCTTTGTTGTACAGAATCTTTTCAGTTTGATGTAGTCCCACTTGGAACATTTATTATTTTGTTGCCCTTGCCTGAAGACATGTGTCCAGGAAAGAGCTGCTCATGCTTACGTTCAAGAGATTTTTGGCTATGTTTTTTTCTAAGAGTTTTATGGTTTCATGTCTTACATTTAGGTCTTTGATCTATTTTGAGTTTCATTCTCTTGAATGTATTTGTCCAGTTTCTGAATACCAGTTGTTGAAGAGGCTGTCTTTTCCCCACTGTATATCCATGGTTCCCTTATTAATTGACATATATGCATGGGTTTGAATCTGGGCTCTCTATTCTGTTCCATTGATCTATATATCTGCTCATGTGCCAGTACCATACTAGAGAGAGCTATCTTGCCCAAGGTCACACAGTTGGCATAAAGCAGATTCCTCGAACTCAGGTCTGCCAGCAACAGGCTAGGCCAATGCAAGGCCTTAAAGGAACAAATTTCCTCTATCCCTCCCCTCTCATAGCCAGAGCTACAAGATCCAGAAGACCTAGAGGAAAGGAGACCTGGAGCAAGCTTAAAGCCTTACACCAAAGAGATCTGGCTCTTTCCTCCAGTCTTAGAGCTGCAGCAATAGAATCCTTGTTAAATCAATTGACTGAATTATCTTTCTAATTGCTCCTTCTCACCACTCAAGGCTGTAAATATAAGAAAAATGTGGTGCATGGAGCTGAGGCACCACAGGGCACATCCCAGAAGTGTTCTTAAAGAAACTCTCCATTATTAGTGTCTTCTGTTATCCTTTGCAAAAAAATGCATCTGGTGGTCTGCATATGGGACAGTGGGTTAAGTGGAATGAGTTCATGGTGGTTTAGCTAGGGATCAACACCACACAGAGATCCACTATGTTGGGCCAGGAGCTGTGTGGTGGCTAAACTACCAGCAAGCCAAATTCCCAGAGCATCTAGCCCGTGAGACACAGCTAGGCTCGGGGTCTCTAACACCTGAGAGGCAGAGGAGGCACACAGCAAGTCTCCTCTAAGCAGTGACCACCTTCACATGCCCAGAGCCCTGACCATGACAAACCTCACCACACTTCTCCAGAATCACCTTCCTAAACTGAGCCTGGGTTTGTCAGGTCTCCAACTGTTCTGATCCTGATCTGCCTCTCATTCCTGCATCAGGACTTGTGTCTGACTTTTTCTTACACATTTCCTCCATCTTTGGCTTCTTAGCTTTTCAAAGCCCTGATTGTGAATGATTCCCTGTCACACATCCCATTACCTTACCGGAACATTTCTCAAAAGGGGGATGAAGTAATAGCAAATACAAGGGAGAAAAGGGTCTGTAAAAAACAAATAAGAAAAAAATTCCTTATAGAAAATATTAGGCATTGCTTACCATAGGATTGCCTTAAACTGCAACTCAAAGGAATCTAACCCAGATCCTAGGGTCTGCCCAGCTATCTCCCTGGCCTGTAAAAGCAACGATAAAACAGAGACAGTTAGCCTTCTCAGCAGGAAAGAGTACACATCACAGATTCGAAGAGCCCTTCTAACATTTGGCCAGGAGAATACTGTGACCCACCCCTCTATGTGACTAGTTTGTATACATCAACGGGTTAAAATGAAAAAACATTGTTAAGGGAAACAGGTGCCTGCTTTCTTCAGGCTGTGTTCACATGAAACACTTCAATCAGGCAGGTGGGCACTGGAACCTGATCTGAGCTATGATCAGCTGGGATGGTGCTATTGCCAGGTCTAGAAAATTGTTTTCTCATCCCCCTCCCCCTGGCCCTGTGGGAGGGACTACTGGCCTCACAGTTTTTGCCCGATGCTATGAATATTCAAATACCTAGAGTTATAAAAGGTGAGTCAAAAAACAAAGGTGCAAGAACTGATTGAACCTTTATTCTGCATACACTTTCAACTCAAGGGCTGAGAAACCCCAAGTCAGTACCAGGAATTCAAATTCAGTGAGGAGGGAAGATGGCAAGGAGCTGGTGACTACCACTACAGTGTCTTTGATATCTACATCATACACAACCTTTCCAATGTCAAATGGCTTCCTTCAGGAAAGATCCTATTGGCATTGGGGGGCATCAAGCCGACTCTTCTCATCTCCTTACTGGGTCAGATATAGGAATCCAACTCAGCAGGGCAGGTTAACCGCAAAACAGCAAGGAAGATACCAGTCAGAGAGCGAGAACACATGTGCTTGTCTAGGAAAGGCAAGTCAGATTTTCTAATCTTTAGCTGCTTTTTCTAAACACTGAATTATATGAAATCACATTATGAAGCTTAAAACAAACTTACCTAAATTTACTAAAACCCACAGCAGAATAATCTTTTTATTTTTTAACATTTAAAAGCCTTAAAAAAAACTATTTGGTAAAACAATATGCTACAGAATGGATTTTCTTTAACACAACCAGATCTACAAAAGAGTGCTGATGAGCTGTCATTCATAAGACAACAGCGGCTGGGTCACTGGCAGCAGGCTCAGCATTTGGAAGGCATCACTTTGGTGCCAGCACCACTGTAGCCCAAGCTCCCACAAAACTGAGTGCTACAAGGTGTCCAAAGGAAAAACAAATGGATAGGAAGTTTTACATTAAAATAACTACTAAGGAAAGAGAAACGTGTATTTAAGTTACCTTTGTTAGACTGGAAGTTTTAGTGTAACATGCGATGCCAGCCAAAACAGCCTCAACAACAGCAGCATATACCTGGGACAAGAGCCTACTTCAAAAACCAAAGATACGCATTAACTACTGCATTACAAGGTTTCATGAAAAGCTGCATGCACACAAATGACATTCTCTAAGGAACTGATTTTTAAACAGAATGAGAGAAGTACAAAAATGAAACTCTTTGATTTCTGAACCTTTTAAAAGCCATGTGCCCCATCTGATTTATACTTTGCTCTTGTTTAACCATGATAAGGAAAGCCAGCTCTTAATTCTGCTCAAAAGACCAACCTTCTGTTTTTGATGCAACAGAAGAAAACAATGTGGGCTCTCTGACCCCTCTATGTGCAGGAGCAGCTACCCAAGGACCTGGAGTCCCTTCTGTGTCATGATTCAGACTTGCTGCTTTTCCAGGGACCAACTACACCATACCTTCACCTTTCTCCTCCCCAGACTTGCTAAATAAAGACTGGCTGCTACTGGAATCTCAGGGTGGTAGACCTCAGGGGCAAAAGAGATTGCTCTGAAAAGAAGGCCTCCACTTAAATTCAAATTACCAGCTGCAGAAAGCTTTCTAAGCAGCTTACCTGATCTAGAGAATAAAGAATGCTTCTAAGGGGAAACATTCCCCTCCTATGCCCCCTGCCTCACCAACCTTCTTCTTTCTTTCTGACTTCTCAAAGTCATTATAAGAAGGGTTTTTTTCCTTTGCCAGACTGAGGCTGCCACAAAGGTCCCTAGAAAATTCAAGTCTGCTTCCCTTTAGGACAGAGTTTCTTGGTCTCAGCATTTTGGGCCAGATAATTTAATTGCTTATTGTGAGTCTGTCCTGGGCATTTCAGGATGTTCAGCACCCCTGACCAGAACCCACTGCATGCCAGTAGCATGCCCAGTTGTGACAACCAAAAATGTCTTCAGACATTTGCAATGTCCTGGGGTTGGGGACTGGTGGAAATGGTGTGGTACAATTACCCTGGTTGAGCGTCACTGTTTTAGAGGAAGGAGACCCAAGATTTTAAGATGATTATAGAGAGAAAAGCCTCATCCACAGGCCCTGAAAGACAAGGGAGGTGCTAGCAAGGAACAGATACAGCCTCACCTAAGAAAGAGTATGTTTGTTTTTAAGCATGGGTAAAAGGCGGCGACAGGAGTTTGAAAGCAAAAAGGAACACATAAATGATCTGGTCTAACCCTTTTATCTCATAGAAAAAGCAAGCAGGGCCTCTGGAGGTGGAATAAGTTGTCTGAGGACACACAAAATTAATGAAAGACTTGAATTCAGGTCTGCTCTCAGCCTGATACTTTTCCATCATGCCACATCACACTGTTGAATTCCTTTGATTTCCTCCTTGGCTCTTGCACCACACATCCACATCTTTAGTAAGGAATTTGACTTGGGTAGGACAAAAAGGCACAGAAAAAGTACATACAACAAAATGACAGCTCAAAGGATCAAAATATCCTGATGGTTTTGGCCCAGGCTATGGCAGAGGAGTATGTCCTGGTGAGGAAGAGGCCTGGCAGGGACACTGCCAATGAGCTTGGCCATGTCCAGGTAAGATCAGAATTCATCCCATGACACTAAGGGTGAAGCTTATAGAGGCCAACTCCAGAGACACGTAAAGATACCCACTCAGCTTGATCCAAACATCATTCAGTAGCAACACTGGTCAGGCCTTCCCCTATACAGACTCTCAGATAAGATCTATCTGGCTACTTAAAATGGCCTGGAAGGGAAGCCTGAGACCCACGACAAGGGAAGGGCCTGCTCTTTGCCTAGATGACACTGCTGCTGCCTTCATGAGGACCCTACAAGGCCCAAGTTGCACAAGCTCTGTGGTGCAGCAAGTCTCCTCATGTGGGCACAAGCACCCCTCAGAACCAACCCCTGAAGCAGAGCACCAGTGAGTATGGCTTAGGTAAAGTGTCTAAGGCTCCAGACGAGGATCCAGGGCAACGGCTAAGCACAGCTGGCATGGGAAGCACAAGCAAGTACACATTCCCACCAACATGCAAGAATATGCTGACTTATTGCTAAAGAAAAGAGCCATAAAGAAAACCCGCTAAAAAAACTGTACACACACTATAATTACAGCTACACAAAACCTAAATGTATAATGGAAAAAAACAACATCTGGAAGGATACACTAATTAAGACAGTGATGGGTAGTGCGTCAAAGAGAAGGAATTATGGCTGACCTTATTTCTTTTCTCTATTTTCCAAATTTTCTGGAGTGCGATTCTATTACCTACAGTATATTTGTTCCAAGACAGCTTTGTGGGCCCTTTCCTAGAGATAATGACTCAGTAGTTCGGGGAAGTACTATAGCCTGGGGAACATATTTTTTTTTAAAAGATCCTTGGATGATTCTTTGTGGTTTGTCATCGATGGCCTTGGGAATACTGGTCTAGACCCCACTAGTTTATGCTGGGATTTTAAGTAGGTAATAACAGAACTTTATTATGTTCATATTTCTGAAAGAAAATTCCTTTTTGGAATTCTCTAGGTCTACCATTGTTATGGACTGAATTATATCCTCTCAAAATTCATTTTGAAGCTCTAAATGCCAGTGGTGACTGTATTTGGAGGGCCTTTAAGGAAGGCTAATTAAAGTTAAATGTGGTCGGTCATTAAAGGTGGGGCCCTAATCCAATAGGATTGGTGTCCTTATAGGAAGAGGAAGAGACACCAGAGATTCCTTTCTCTTTCCATGTGACCACAGAGGAAAGGCCATGTGAGGACAGAGAGAAGGCGGTGGTCTGCCACTCAAGGAGAAAGGTCCCACCAGAAACTAAATCTTGGACTTGGAGCCTCCAGAATTGTGAGAAAATTAATTTCTGTTCTTTAAGCCATCCACTCTACTATTTTTTTATGGCAGTCCAACCTCATTAATATAGCAGTAATGAGTTCATTTCCTGTCTTTGGTTTCCTGATATATGTGAGGGGAAAGAAGTCAATACTAGGACCCTTGTAAACTTACACAGCCTAAGTCCAGATCTTAGCTCTGTTCCATAAGCCTGCCATGTCAGATCCAGAGTAAATACTCCTCTGACCAGATGGGCTTTGACACAGATTCTCCCAATGGGCTTTAGGATATTGTAATTCTAGGAAAGCACCTAATAAAAAATGCACCATGTAGAAAACATATTAAGATTTGTGTCCTTTAAGTGCATGGGTATGCAGGTAGGAAGTCTCTGAAGTTTGAAGAGAAGACTAGATGGCATGGCTGGCAGGGTCTTTGGTCTCAACTCCAAGCTGATACAGGGGCTGAGACCTCCTGGGAAACTGCATTGCTCTACCTTCCTCTTAAATCTGATATCCTACCCACAGCTGATCTCAAAAAGAGGTAGATGGGATAGCAACAACTCTGAGTAACTCAACTTTGAAAAAGCAAAATAAAAATGAAGACTTACATTTGTTCAGTTTTCTTGGGCAGCTTGTTGTCATCACCTGGTAAAGAGGAACATGGATTTTGAATGTGACAAGATCACAGGAGATGTAAACATTTTGTAAGGCAGCTAAATTTCCTAACTTAATTTGAAGGAGATGTCGGGAACTCCATTTTTCCCCCTTTGAGTTAAAGACAGTACAAACACAAGCAACAGTGAAACCTTGCTTCTCCCAGTACCTCCTGGGCCTTCACCCCAACATGGACTTTGGCAACTCACTTAGGATCACCACTGAACACCAGAGAAGACATGGAATCTCAAGACTCTGGAATGTTTTTGCCTTCTCAAAAAATTTTTAAATTATGAGGTATAAGTAACCAGGCTCAGTTCTGCCTCTTTTTTCATTTCCTTAACTATCCTCCCAAGTCACGCTTCTTTTAGTTTCCTGGCCTATGTAACAGTATTGAGGAGAAACTGGTTTCCAATGAACTCTCCTCTGAGGAGCAGTGCTGAGATCCTTGTTCATTCTAGAGGTCCCTCCCTATGCCTCTTTGGATGCCTGCAGCTTCTGGCTACCCCACAAGGGCAGTCCTGGGCAGTCTAACCTTTCTGATGGCCCTGTGGGATAGAGCACTCGCTCCTGTGAATGTTCCCAGCTCATGGGTACCCTTCTGCCATGGCCTCTGCTCACCTTTCTCCCAAGAACAGCAGGCACCTGGCTGAGTCAACCACACTCCCACTGTAGCCCATATGTATCTCCTGCTATCTTCAACTAGGATCTGTTCATCTTTACTTTCCCTCTGACACTAAGCACACACATGGTTAGCCTTAATACATGTTGAGCTGATGATTATTCCTTCTGAAATAACACAGAATGTGTTAGGCACATGAACTCTCCATCTGGAACCAAAGAGGGAGTTAGAGGCCTACAAATTGTGTATCAAGAGCTTGTGAGGAAAGTAGTAAACGTGAGTCCATTTCTAGTTCATGGGAGAAACTATTCATTAGGCAAGATGATCAGATGATGACTTATAGGGACTTACCCAAGTAAGGAACATGAGTAGCTCCAAAAAAGTATGTTCTTGAACAAGCAAGGGGTCCCTTTGGTGAGATGCACTGTACTACCTGGACAATGTCAGAAAAAAAAAAAGTAGAAAAGGAGCAGGGACTTAGGTGTGTACTATTAGAGAAACAAAAAGTACAATTAATAGGAATCAATTTTATTTTACAACAGCTACTTTATTATTTTTTAAAGGCACAGGGGAAAAAAGCACCCTTAGCTGTTTTTCCAAAGGTGTCTTGTGTATGTGTTTTTAACCTTGGCTACATTGTAAGGTTGCTGCTGGGTCAGCCCAAGAGGCTAATGAATTTATAACTTAGAAGGAAAAGAAGAGGAAATGTGCTTGGGTTTAGATTGTCATTAATACTCAGTCCAGAAATGTCACACTGTGGACCTGCCACAGGCAGATGTGGGGAGGGCAGCTACAAAGTCAAGATAAGAGAGCGCGGCCCAGGTCCCACCTTCATCTGTATTTCACCTCCATACACAGGACTTGAAGAAGACAAAATAAGTTCTCTAGATTTTAAAATTCTTTTTCTTCCCTGTTTAGTTGTTCATTTATACAAAGATGAAAATGGATGTCTTTTTTTCTTTTGAAAATCTAACACCTCACCAGGTTTCCTAGGATAGCAGGTATAAAATGCAAAAATGCTACCACAAGAACTAAAGGAAAGGAAATTAGCATAATAAATTGAAAAATAATAAATGTGACACAAATACTCATTCTATTTTACTCCATTGTTTAAGGAAGTCAAAAGAACATGTGGCATTTTCTGTACGATTGTGAACATTGTAAATCCAAGTTAGAGGTTTGAATAAGGACTTATTCTGACTAATCTATAATCACCATAGTGAATATGATCAATATTGCTATGACCCTAAATAAAAACACAAGTACATATTTCCAATTGTTAGTTAAAAGGCATATTTCCCCAATTAAAACATGTTCCTTAGATTTCCAAATTTTCCCTGAAGTTTTTTTTAAAGGTTCCATGTGTTTCAAACCTGCTTCCTTAGATCATATAAATCTGTAAGCACACATGAACATCAAATTTATTGACATTTACATTAAAAAAGAAATTGGTACAACAGAATCAGTGTATGCAATGTAAAACTGCTCAGATCATCTGGATTTGCATGTTTTAGATGTCACCTATTAGTCTGTAAAGTATTCACAAATGGCACAGAAATGGAAAGGGTAAGTATGTTACCTTGAAATAGAGCTGAATTAAGATGAAAGGTCATAATCTAGGGGCTCGCCAACCCCAGGACCTGTTCTCAAATAAGTTCCTTGGCTTTATTAGGTTTCCACATTTATAAAATAAAGACCCCCAATTATTACAAAAGTTATGTAAAGAACCTGCTTAATGTTTTTTATTTATAGACTATTTTTTTAGGTTTATTATTTATAGGCTATTTAATAGACTATTTTAGCAATTTTAGGTTTACAGAAAGATTGATCAAAAGTACAGAGTTCTCATATCTCTTAACCCCCCTATTATTTATGTCTTATAATACTTTACATTGATGAGACAATATTAATCCATTGTTTACATTAGGACTCACTCCTCATGCACATTTTATGGGCTTTGGCAAATGTATAATGACACATATCCATCATGACTATATGATACAGAATAGTTTCACCACCCTAAAAATCCCTCTGCTCCACCTATTCTCCTTCCCTCCTCAATTCCTGGCAACCACTTATAAAAACTTCTACCTGTCTCCACTACTGTGCCTTTTCCAGAACGTCACGTAACTGGAACCATGCAATATGTTGCCTTTTCAAGTTGGCTTCTTTCTCTGAGCAATGTGCACTTTAGGTTCCTCCATTATCTTTTTTATTTTTATTTTTATTTTATTTTGGTATCACTAATCTACAATTACATGAAGAACATTATGTTTACTAGGCTCCCCCCTTCACCAAGTTCCCCCCACAAACCCCATTACAGTCACTGTCCATCAGCGTAGTAAGATGCTGCAGAATCCCTACTTGTCTTCTCTGTGTTGCATAGCCCTCCCCGTGACCTTCCTCCACTACACATGCTAATCCTAATACCCCCTTTCTTTTTCCCACCCTTATTCCTCCCTTCCTACCCATCCTCCTCAGTCCCTTTCCCTTTGTTAACTGTTAGTTCATTCTTGGGTTCTGTGATTCTGCTGCTTTTTTATTCCTTCAGTTTTTCTTTGTTTTTATACTCCACATGAGTGAAATCATTTGGTACTTGTCTCTCTCCGCCTGGCTTATTTCACTGAGCATAATACCCTCTAGCTCCATCCATGTTGTTGCAAATGGTAGGATTTGTCTTCTTCTTATGTAGGTTTTTGTGTAGATACAAGTTTTCAACTCACTTGGATAAATACCAAGGAACAAGATTAACAGATCATGTGCTAAGAGTATGTTCAGTTTTGCAAGAAACTGCCAAACTGTCTTCCAAAGTGGCTGTAACATTTTTCATTCTCACCAGAAATGAATGAGAGCCCCTGTTGTTCTACATTCTCTCCAGCATTTGTTATTGTCAGTATTGTGGATTTTTACCATTCTAATAGATGTGTAATAAATAGATGACTAAATTATTGCTCCAGACACTTCAGCCGAATAATATTCCATTGTGTCTATGTACCACATCTTCTTTATCCAGTCACCTACTGATGGATACTTAGGTTGCTTCCATTTCTTGGCTATTGTAAATAGTGCTGCTATAAACATAGGGGTGCATCTGTCTTTTTCAAACTGGGCTGCTGCATTCTTAGGGTTCCTCCATGTCTTTTTGTGGCTTGACAGCTCTTTTCTTTTTATCACTGTGAAATATTCCATCATATGGATGTACCACAGTTTATCCACTTACCTAATAAAGCACATCTTGGTTGCTTCCAAGTTTTGGCAATTATGAATAAAGCTGTTATAAAAAATTCCTTGTGTAGGTTTTTGTGTAGATAAAAGTTTTCAACTCACTTGGGTAAATACCAAGGAACAAGATTAACAGATCATGTGCTAAGAGTATGTTTAGTTTTGCAAGAAACTGCCAAACTGTCTTCCAAAGTGGATGTAACATTTTTCATTCTCACCAGAAATGAATGAGAGCCCGTTGTTCTACATTCTCTCCAGCATTTGTTACTGTCAGTTTTGTGTATTTTTACCATTCTAATAGATGTGTAATAAATAGATGACTAAATTATTGCTCCAGACACTTCAGAGCACCATCCTCACTGACTCTTCTGCCAGTCTGTGAAATTTGTAACAGCAAAGACCACAACTGTACATGCCCTACACTGAGCAAGGCTGACTATTGTGTAGCAGACACTTAATAAGGTTTACTGAATTAATGGGTGAAAGCTCTCTGGCTTTGGAGTAATACAGATCTAAGAACAGAAACTGGATATGCTGTCCACAATGTAGATGTGCACCGAGGTTGGGTTTTTTCCTCAATTATTGTGAGGTAAAATTCACTATTTTAAAGCCAACAGTTTAGTGGTGTACTGGTTTTATCAGTGTTCTATTGTCTTTCTTAATGTTCCAAAATTCCTCATTTTATCATTTCCTCTGTTTGAACCAAACTTCCTTTAGCCCTTCTTTAGGGTAGGTTTGCTGGCAACAAATTCTTTTTTCCTTCATCTGATGCCCCCTTCATTCCTGAAGAGATTTTTGCTGGATACAGATTTCTAGGTGACAGTTCATTTTTTAGCATTTGAAAAATGTGTGACTTCCTTGTTTTTCATGGTTTCTAAAGAGAAATATACTTTCATCAGGATCACTTTTTCCCCTATGGGTCAGGTGTTTCTCTCTGCTGCTTTCAAAATTTTTCCTTTGTCTATACTTCAGTACTTTTCAGAAGTTTGAATCTGATGTGTATTGATGTGGATATCTTCATGTTTAATCCAAAGAACTTTGGAATTCTTAGGCTTCTTGAATTTATAGGCTCATGTTTTTCTTTTTGTTTTTTTAACTGGGTACCAAATTTTTTAATTTGAAGGAATGGTACAAATGAAAGGACTTACATAGATGCTTTGGTACAACTGACAGAAAAAGTACTGGTAAACCCAGCATGCACGCACTACCTTGGTGACCAGGGAAGTCACCTCTGGCTCTGGGAAGCCACGCTAAGGCTTAGCTCTTGTTATCACTGTCTCCCAGAGTGTGCTTGTCAAAGAGATCCTCTGCCATCCCAGATTTGGGGACCCCTGTCCTGCCAAGTTGGTTATGTGGTCACCAATTCTTTGACGGATTTCACCTGCTCATTTAGGTAATGAGTCTCAATGAAGTCACACAAATGAGGGTCATTTTTATCAGTGGACAGTTTGTGTAGTTCCAATAATGACTGTTTTCATGCTTTTTTCCAAATGTAATGCACATTCCATTGCATTCAGCCTATTCTCCCACTTGTCATGGTCTGGTTTCTTCATATCCTGAATGAACATTCAACCCCCTCACTGGTTCTACAGGTTCATCAGTTTCTCAGCATGTTCACTCTCTTGAGATTGATGAAGGAAATATTTGGCAAAGTTCTTCAAAGCCATATCATCACAGTCAAAGTAGTAAGACATGGACAGGTAGATAGATGTAGGAGGACAGAGGTCCAGGTTGAGGTGGTTGATAGTAGCCTCTGCATCCCTGTGGTTGTTCTGGAGCACCTGCACAGGGGATGCGGTCGTCATGCCAGCTGGCTGAGGACAGGCAGAGGTGGAGGCTGCATAGCACTGGAGTTGGGGGGTCTAGGGGGTGATCTGAGGGCACTGTGAAGAGGTGGTGGAGGGCTGGCTTGGGAGATGAGCACTGGGTTCCGTCCAGGCACTGCTGATGCAGGAATCTGTGGCAACTCTGGGTGAAGACTCAGCTCATGGGTCATTTATTTGTTTGCTTTTTGCCAAACTTGGGAAATTTTCAGCCCTTTTTAAAAAATATTTTTCATCCCCATCTTCTTTCTCTTTTTCTGATATCCCAATTAACAGGAATGTTAAGATCTTTCCTGATAGCGTTGGTACACAGGGTCTTCGGGAGCTTCCCAGGTGTAACACGAAATTGTCCCCCATAAGTGATGGATAGGGAGAGACTAAAGAAAGAGGCAGACACTCCACATTGGTAGGTGACAAGTTTAATAAGCAAGCTTACATAAATAAACCTGTACATAAGAAGCTTGTCTTGGGCAGCTGCAAGAGGACTAGATATCCGCATCTGCCCACCAAACTCTTAAAAAGTTATACAGAGGCCTTAACTGGTTGGATCACATATACTGTTCAGATGGTCTCAACACCTCTTCACTATCTCAAGGCTATGTCTCTGAGGCAGCCTGTGGGTTTGGGGAAGACTGGCAAAAACCACATTCTAAGGGGAGGGGAGGGGGTGAGGAGACTCCGATTGCTTGGGTCTACTCACAGGTCAACTGCTGATTACGTCTTCTCAAGAAGTTCCCAAGTAGATAGTCTCACGGAATTCTGAGGCTCTGTTCAATTTTTTCAGTCCATTTTTCTGTTGTTCAGATTGGGTAATTTCTATTGTTCTCTGATTCTTAAATTCTCTGATTTCTTTACTCTTTTCCATTTTGTTGTTGAGTCCATTCATTAAATTTAAAATTTTGATTATTGTATCTTTACTTCTAAAATTTCCATATGATAGTTCTTACTATCTATTTCTTGGCTGAAACTCACAATTTTCACATTTATTTCAGGGTTTTTGTAACTGTTCAATGAAGCATTTCATTATGGCTGCTCTAAGTTCCTGTCACTTAATTCTCACATCTGTGTTACCTCAGTGTTGGCATATGACTCTCTTTCCTCATTCAGTTTGAGATCTGTAGTGATTTTTTAACTGAAACACAGATATTTAGTAGTTTTCCTAGAATTTGCAATATACATTTATAACTAATATAAATCCACTTCCAAATTATACAGTATCACTTCATGCATACTGTGGGTACCTTGTATTAAAAGAATACCATTTCTTCCCTCTCATCCCTTATGAAATTGCTGTCATTCATTTCACTTATTCATGTTATAATCACCTAATACATTGTCACAATTAGTAAAAGTTATCTTTTAAATAAATTAAAAATAAAATGAAAGACTATTATTTACCTTCATTTATTTCGCTTTCATGCTCTTCCTTTCTTTATGCAGATCCAAGTTTCTGATCTACATATTTTTTTTAATGCTTGAGGAACTTATTTTAACATTTCTTTCAGAACAGGTCTGTTGGTGATGAATTTTCTGTTTTTTGTTTGTCTGAGGAAGTCTTTATTTTCTTCCTTAGTTTCTCCCCTTTTGTTTTGAATGCTAATTTTGCTGGATATAGAATTCAGGTTGATGGGGGTTTTATTTTTTCAACACTTTAAATATATGATTCCACTCTTACTGTTTGCAGGGTTTTTGATAAGAAGTCCACTGTAATTTTTATTCTTGCTCCCTTACAGGTAAGGTGTTTTTTCCTCTGGCTTCTTTCAAGATTTTCTCTTTGGCTTTGGTCTCCTGAAACTTGAATATGATAGGCCTTGACATATATATTTAAGTGTTTATTCAGCTTAGTGTTCTCTGAGATTTCTACATCTGTGGTTTGTGTCTGTCATTCATTTTGGAAAATTATCAGCTATTATTGCTTCAGATATTTCTTGTGTTCCTTTCACTCTTTCTTCTCCTTCTGGTATTTCCATTATGCATGTTTCATTCTTTGAAACTGTCTGTTTTTAAGATGTTCTCTTCGTTTTTGACTTCAAGGATTTCCTTTGGATTCTTTTTTTTTTTTAAGAGTTTCCACCTCTGTGCTTACAACTATCCATCTGTTCTTACACGCTGTCTATTTCTTCCATTAGAGCTTGTAACATATTAATCGTAATTATTAAATTCACTGTTTGAAGATCCCAAAATATGAGTCATATCTGAGTCTAGTTCTGATGGTTGTGTTGTGTCTTCAAACCTTTTTTTTGTTTGTCTTTTAGTATGCCTTGCAATTTTTGGTTGAAAGCCAGACATGATGTATCAGGTATTAGGAACTGAAATAAATAGGCTTTCATGTGAGGTTTATGTTAATCTGGCAGGGAGTCGGGATGTGTTTAATGCTTTCTGTAGTTGCAGGTGCCAGGGGCTTCAAATTCCTCTAATGTTTTTGTATTTGTCCCGTTGTCTTTGGCTTTCTGTAAGAACTCTTTCTTACATTGTCTGTACCTTGAAGCTCTTTTAGCAGTAATCCTCTCTTATTATATTGGAGACCTGCTGCTGGGGTGGTAAGGTAATGGGGGGTGGAATGTTCTACAATCTTACGATTAAATCTTAGACTCTCAGTGGGCCTGTATCCCTGGCTATGACCCACATGAGTATTTCTTAGCTTTTCCCCCCGCTCCCTTAGGTGATAGGAAGGCTAGAGTATGCTGCTAAGTCGAGTAAAGGTTTTTCTCCCAGATAAGGTAAGGCTTGGGTAAAATCCTTCTCATGGAGAGTAGGTCTTTATTATGAAGGCCCTTGTAATATTTCAAAATGGTTACTATTCTCCTTCCCTTGACAGTCATGAGGGGATTTTTCTTGGCTTTTCACCATGAGAACCTGATATGGTTCCTGGAAGTTAAACCCACAGATGTGTGGGGAATGCTCTAAGACAGTGTCGACCAGGAGTTTCTCACTCTCACCCTAGTCCATATTCAGACTCCAGGAATTCATCAGACTTATTTAACTGTGGCTTCTGCTCCAGGTAAGCAGATATTAGCTATGACTCTCTGGATTCACCTAGCTTTACAGATTTCAGAGTGGTGACCTGCCTTGAGGCTTCAATTCTCTGATGAGTCCAACAACTCATTGCTGGTTTCCAGTTTTTTAGCTTTTTTAAGGATGGGTGGGATAGCTTCCGAACTCTTTACATGTTAGAGTTGAAATTAGAAGTCTTCTTTGGATCTTATTTAAATCTTGTGTCCTAGTAGACCTCTTCTGATAGTGTTTCAATAAAGTCTGCTGCAGATATTACTGCCACAGGAGAATCCAGGTTTTCCATTAAGATTTCATCAACACCTGGGGTGAGTATATGTGTGAGTGTGAATGTATCAATGTGAATGCGTGTGGGTGCTCTGTTACTGCTGGGCAGGAGTGGGAGTTCAGGTTCCCCAGTAGGCCTCTGCTGATACCAACCAGGTGTGACAGACACCATGGGTAAAGGGTGGCCTTGTTATCGCTGACTGGTGGTTAAATTCCTCACTCTCCACTGGCCTCCGGTGATACTACTCCAAGGAGGGACACCTCATCATGCTGGGTAGGGGTAAAAGTCCAGGCTTCCTTACTGTCTCCACTGATGCTGTGGAGTAGGGAGGGATTATGACTGTCTCATGGTGATGGGTCGTAGCTCCTCACTGGGCCTTCTCTGACACTATCTTTTTTTTTTTTTTTTTNATAGGGGACTCAATGCACAATCATTAATCAACCCCAAGCCTAATTCTCAACAGTCTCCAATCTTCTGAAGCATAATGAACAAGTTCTTACCTGGTGAACAAATTCTTACATAGTGAATAAGTTCTTACATGGTGAACAGTGCAAGGGCAGTCATCACAGAAACTGTCAGTTTTGGTCACACATTATGAACTATAAACAATCAGGTTCTGACACTATCTTGATATGGGTGGGTGTGAGGGAATGGCAGCCCATTAGCCCAACAAGCGTGGACATCTAGGCTCTCAAAACTCAGCCCTTGTTGGCAGGTGTAGGGGTGGAGATGCAGTTTTTTCTGGTGTGGCGGGAGTTCTCTGATGCTATCTAAAAATTTTTGGTCTTGCTAGGTTACCTCCTTCCTGCTCCTTTGACAGAAAAAGCAGGCTTTTCTGGGGCTTTTTATGTCTGTGCCTGTTGGCATTTTCAGGTTGCCCAGCTTCTCTAGTATCTGGTCTGGGATATATAGGCAAGAAGAAACCCCAGAAGACAGTGCAGCACAGAGAAGGCAAGTAGTGACTCTGTGGCATCTTACTACACTGATGGACAGTGACTGCAGTGGGGTGTGGGGGGAACTCGATAATATGGGTGAATGTAGTAACCACATTGTCTTTCATGTGAAAACTTTGTAAGAGTGTGTATCAATGATACCTTAATAATAATAATAATAATAAAACTATAGCAAAGATTCTACCATATTTTAAATGTTCTTGAAAAAAAAAAGAGAAGAAATCCCAGAAAACTCGACGTTATTTTGTTCCTTTGGTTCTGAGGTCCATAGCTAGTATGCCTTCTATCTTTCAGTCTTTCTATATAATGTGCAGGGTTTTAGTTGTACTCTGTGGGAGAAATAGGGAAAAGGATGCCTACTCCATCTTTCCAGAAGCACAACAATCAGATTGTCTCCTTTAGTTCTGATTTAATATGTATGGTCAACAAGTAAGATTACACAGAGAAGCCTATGCCATTTGGTATTATCTATGTATTCCAAAAGTGCTCTGGGGGGTTAAAATTGGGCCTGAGCCCTCTCTTTTCAGGACAGCAAGATGCTGACAGCATATCCATTCAAGTAGCCTTTTATCCCCAATTGGTTTAGAGGTAGATTTGGAGTCTCAGTCTAGAGAGACTTGGGTCTCGTGTTTTCCAGATCCAAACCGCAAAATAATAGTATCTATATCCCCAGCTTTCCTGATTAAAACGTTTTGAAAATAATTATAATTCCATAGACTCTTATAATTTTTAGAGCCTTATATTTCAGTCTAACATTTCCCTTACAAGAATGTAGCAGATAATCTACCATCAAATGCAAAGATCTTCCCCTGGCACCTTCAATAAAAGAATAGTGATCCTCAAGGTTTATGCTCTGAAAATGTAACATTCAAGACACAGCAAACTTAGATTTGGAATAACTGTATTTTCAAGTTAATTTAGAATTCTTATTCTACTGACAATAATACTCTGATAACTTGAAGAGTTTGGTTTGTGAAAGTATTTTTTAACCTTTTTCTTTCAAATATTTAAAAATTAAAAATGTTTTCAAATCATACCTACTACATAAAAATACATTCACTTTCCAATCACTTCTCTTTACTCCAAAACAATTTCAAATTCTAAGTTAAATCAATACACCAACTGATGGTAAAGCACCAGTCAAATCACTCACCATGTGTTTGGCAAAGCTCCCATTGGGACCAGTGTTGCGTACCAGGTGCCCTTCAGAAGGGAAGTTAAAATTCCCAGCATTCATGTTTTCTCGTGTGGAGTGATTACCAAAGAGAACAAATGGCTGCCTATTAGGGCTAGAGTGGCAAAGCAAAAACGTGATTAGAAAAGAGATTCCTGGACAGGGCAGCTTCCCAGTGAGGGAGTTCTTGGGCTTTTCTGATGGCATCCTGCAGTCTGAACAAAGTGATCAGTATAGTCCACCTAATGCACTTTGCCTACTGGGAAGGGATGCCAGATGTCTCTGACTTCTCTTACTGACCCATAGGGATCATCATTTAAGGACATAACTAAACCCATGTCAGGTTTATATTTTCAGCTTGTTAAGGAAAATATTTCGTAAGTTTGTTGCCCTTGTTAAGGAAAACATTTCATAAGTTTGTTGCCCATGATGCAAAGATGGAGCAACTGCAGTTTTATATAATACCATCTTTATAGAAACATAAATTTTAAAGGAAGACAACAGTTGTGATACTCAGACTGTAGACAGACAACATAGCCATTACCACTCCTGACTAGTTTTCGTAAGGCAAGGAGGGCAGTCGGGTTGCAAATGTTCTCACCACATCTACTGGCCTCTGCAACTGTTCCCCTTTCCCTCTCCTTTCTTGACTGGACTTGTCTTTTTACTTTTTTGTTTTTATTTCTGCTCACTCCTCAACCCGCTTCAATTGGCCCCTCTCCCTAACTCATTTCACTCAAACTGCTCTTGCAAAACCAAGTGCCTTTCATGTAGCATACATACAGCAAATCCAATGGGCAGTCTTTGGCCCGCCCTTCCTTGGTCTCTCAGAAGCATGTGACACCCTCCCCCTGCAAGAGCTGTTGCTTCTCAGTCTCACTGGGCCTGGAGGCTTCTCCCTACCTGGCCTCTGAAGAGTCGTAGGGTTTTACTTTCATCTGTCTATTCACTACTCTCCCTTCCCGTGATCTATCCCTTGAACCTGTTCCCCTCCAAGTTCTTCCAATAAATATATGGTATCACCATTCATCCAGGGACTAAACCAGACCTGAGATGCCTCCTTGACTTCTCAGCTCCCTCACTCTCTAAATCTAACCAGCCACCCAAATTTCACTCCTATTTGTCCATTCCCTCCACCCACATGGTCACTAGCCTAGTCCATGCTGCTATCATTTATTCCCTGAACAATGGCAATGTTTCCTTGTGGTTTCCCTGCTTTCACTCTTGCTCTTCTATTTTCTATTCTCTACAGTGCAGAAGACAATCAAATATGCGGAGCCTTTAAAGCCTTTATGCAGTTTTCAGGGGAAAGACCAAAACCTTTCATATAGCAAACAAAGACTTGCACAGTCTGGCCCTGGCCAACTTCTTCAGCTCCATGCAAGTTCCCTCTCCCCCAACTCCCATACTCCAGCCAAGTTCAATTTATGTTCCCTGTGTACTCATCTCGGGACCATTGCTTTCTCCCTTTTCTTAATTATCTTTACTTATCATTCAAATATTCCCCCAGAGGAGGTCATGCTTTCCAGTTTGGTCTTCACAGTACAATGTTCTTTTCTCCTTCATAGCACCAATTAGTTTGTAATTATTTTTCTTCAGTGAAGTTGCTTGATTAATGCCTTATTTCCCTGTTGTACTATATACTCAGCCTCTGGTTTATTTTTTAACCGTGTATCTTTGTTTAGCGTGTCATATGTTCTCAACAAAGACTAAAGGATATTTTTAAAAGATAGCTTCTGCTAGGGACTGAATGTTGTGTCCCCACAAAATCCATGTTAAAATTCTAACCCCCAAAGTGATGGTATTAGGAAATAGGGCTTTGGGTGGTGATTGGGGACATAAGGATTGATTCCCTCATGAAAGGGCTCCAGAGAGATCCCTCCCCACTTCTGCCATGTGAAGTTATATTGAAATTGAGGTAGAGCAGGGACATGGGACAAGCATCATGATTAATTTTTCCTGCTTATGATGAAAAATGCTAAGATATAAATAGTATAGTAAGAACAGGAAGGACTCCATCTTAAAGCTAAGATTCCATTTTAAAAGCCAGGGAGTTAGGAGGTAATATTCCTAACATACTTTACGGTGATTAGCCAACAACTGACCCTGTCTTAAAGCAGAGCAAGCAGTCCTAAATGGAATGTTCCCACTGCTTGAGGGTAACCATTATCTTGGAGAAGAGCAGATAAATAAATTCCTTAAATTTATCTTACAGAATATGTAGAGGACTATGGATGATAACATAATGCCTCTCACTGGAGATAGACACCATGAGACCAAATGTCAAGCCTATGTTCCCCAGGCCCTTTACCCCATTCTTGAAATCGTCAGAAGACACGAATCCTAAGCCTTTTAAGTGCACCTCCTCTCTGAGGCTGCCCGTGCTCCTTTGAATGTGTACTTTGCCTTAAGGACTTCTTGCTGCTCAACTTAATTGAATTTTGTCTCTGTACTCTTCCAGTGGTGTCTTTATTACTTCACCATTTCATTCAATTTTCTTGACTTAAGCACTAGTCTTCTCTCCCCCCTGTTCTCCTTCAGACAAATAGGGAAGGGCTACTAAGATCTCTGATTTGGGTTTGTAAGTTCCTGATGCCTGGATGACCTGGATGAGACTGCAGCTATACAATCATGCCCTTCAGTAGCCTGCCCAAAAATCTCCTTTATTTGCCTTTTGTAAGTTCTCAGAACATCATCTCACTCCATCCAGTGCTCTGTAGGCTCCTCCAAATCCTGGGGTGGTAGGGGCTTAGCTCCCATGCCCTGCAGATCAAGTGGACACTGGATGCCAGGTGACTCTGGCTTCAGGAATTGGCAAGGGATCTGCCTATGCCGAGTAGGAGTTCAGTGAACTTCCCTTTCCTCCCTCTAGTCCCCCTTGCTCTCTACTGCCTTGACAGCTGCTGCCATTTCATGCTATTCTCGCTTTAATGAATTCCTTTCTAACCTATACTTGTCCAACCTGTTCGAGAATTCTTTCTCGATCAGAGCCAAGAACCCTCCCCTGTCCAGGCTGAGGTTTCACCTAGTGCACAGGGAGAGACCTCCCCAGATGCAGCTGCTGGACAACAAAGTAACAGCCATCTATGAGGAAGCAGGCCCTCACCAGACCCAGAATCTAGCAGCACTATGATCTTGGATTCCAAGCCTCCAGAACTGTGAGAAATAAATGTTTTTATTTATAAGCCACCCAGTTTACGGTATTTTTGTCACAGCAACTAAAAGAGACTAAGAGTTTCCTTTACCTTCCAATCCTTTCCTTAAATTGCCTTTAGTGTGTGTATGTGGAAAATCCCTTGCATTTCTTTTCATTACTTCTAAAAAATACTCGTTAAGCTTCAGGCAAACAAGTGTTCTTACAAGTAAACATGACTGATTTATCTTCTTAAGTTTAATTTAAGCTGAGTAACACTTTGGGCAGAAAAAGATGATTCTGAGTCCCAGACACAGTAGTTTGTCTCCGGGTCAGAAGGGACTGGGACTGGGGAAGAGAGACGAAGTATCTCCTCTCATCTGGCTACAAGAGGAACTCTTCCTTGCTGGGTCTTCCTGATCACCAAGACGTGAAAGGAGACTCTTCAAGGCACAAATGTAGCAAACCTCACTGTTCCCTCTTCCTGGTGCTGAATCTTTATGCCCCAACCTTTTTACTTCCCACAAGCCACCACTGTTGATCCCTGCCCAGCCCTTGGACACACTGCTTCCTCTCACTTTCCTGGCCTAGGGATGGAATAAAAAATTCCCTTGTTTAGATTTCAGCAACCAAAAGGTTTAAAAGTTAGTTTACTATAAAACTGTATTTAAAAATACAAAAATATAAAAGCAGTGAAACAGTAAATTTTACAGAGTATGGATGTCTTACCCTGTGATGACTGAAGCCCACTCATATTTTCCTGAGTCTAGCTTCTAGACTTAGATGCTCCCCAACATCCATGTACCTTGTCCACAGTATTTTCTCTATTACCATTCAGCTTTTCCCCCTAAGAACCTTACCTGTTTTCAGTTATGTGGCTGGAGATCATGCCATGACTGAAGTAACTTCTGAATGGCTAAAAATGAAGCCAACATTGTATATATTAAGACCCACAATTTTATAAACCAATCACAGAAACCCTCATTTATATATATATATGTGTGTGTGTGTGTGTGTGTGTGTGTGTGTGTGTGTGTGTGTAAATATGTACGTATGTATGTATATATAGAGACAGAGAGACAGAGAGAGAGTGTGTGTGTGTGTGTGTGTGTTCAAGAGAGTGAAAGCTAGTGAGAGTGAGAGAGATATGTATATTTACAGATTATTATAAGAACATGGAAGGACTTATCTAGTAGAAAAGAAAGGTGGGAAAAGAAATTCTTGTCAAATTTTATAGAGTTTAAACTACTAAAAGGAAAATGGACCAACCACCATCTATGGTACAAGTTACTAACCATGTGGGAATATTTTCTTGTATTAAACATTTTTTTCTACATTTCCAATAAAGGAATACATACTATTCTAATATACTAATTTAAAATCAGCAACCAGAAAGAATCCAAGGAACTTAGAAGTACACTGACAGAAATTTCCCAGGAAACCACAGAAGTATTTCTCATCCTTTGGTATGCACAGTGCTTGGATAAACACTAACCAAAAATTGATAGACAGGGTCTATACCAAAAGGGTTCAAAATTTTCAAAAGATTATTTCAAAAGATAATTTAATAATGCTTTAATTTTAAGCAACATCTACTGCTTTTCCTGATTATATATGTAATATATGTTTATTTTAGAATACAATAAAAACCACATACAATCTCTAAGAACTGTTAAACAGTCTGGTACATTTTCTTCAAATGTTTTTTCTATGGTACACCCATAGAATACATATGATTGCAACGAAGTTTATTAAATAGGTCTCTGTTCTTGGAGATTTACATTGCTACTCTCTTGTACCACAAATAATACTGTAATCAACAACTTTTCATAAATTTTATCTGTAGCTCTGATTATTTCCTTAAGGCAGATCTGGAAATGAAACTATAGGGGTAAAAAAGCAGAACTACATTGCCAAATTGTTCTTCAAAAAAGTTTTACCAATGTATTCTTCCACTTATAATACATGAGTGTGACTATCTCAGTTTATCATAAACACTTTCCACTAAATGTCCATTTAAGGATGTATCTGCCAAGTTTATAAATGAAAAATGGTACCTCACTTTTGTTTTATCTTACATCCCTTTGATTTTTATGAAGTAGCATATTTTAAGTATGTTTAGTGGCCATTTGGACTTCCCCCTTTGGTAAATAACTATATTTATATCTTCTGGATGTTTAGCAATCAGAGTTCTGGTGTTTGTCTTCCTGATTTGTAAAAACTTTATTAAAATAATACTAGCTAAAATTTACTGAGTGTTTACCATGTGAAATGCCATAGGCACTTATATGTATTATCTCAAGTAATCCTAGTAACAACCTATGTGATTCTATCATTATCCCCGTTCTATAAATGAGTTGGCTAAGACACAAAAGTTAACTAACTTGTGCCAGTTCACAGAGCTAGTGAACTCATAGCTGGGATTCTAATTGGGTAGTTATTTGGGTAAAAAAGATAAATTTAGATCTCTCTCTCATATCAGACACACAAAAAGACCTGAAATGAATCAGAAATCGAAAATTAAAAAGTTAAGCCATATAAGTACCAAAAGGGTAAGTTTTTCTTTAATCTTAAAGACTTTCCCTATCTTAAAGACTTACTCCAGAGGCAATAAAAGAAATGTTGATAAATTTACATAAAGATAAAAAGAAGTTTGCATGGTAAAAAAAAAAACCTAACAAACACAGTAGAAATATTCAGAATGTATACCGCAGACAAAAAGATATTAGCCTAAGTATACAAAGAGCTCTTAAAACTAAAGGGCAAAAGACCTAAAACCTATGCTCTATAGCTCAGTTAATAATATTATACCAATATTAAAATAAGAAAAAGACATGAAAATAAAATTTAAAATGAACTTCAACATGAAAAAATGTTCAGTTATCTCATAATTTAAAAAATACAAATTAAATAATACCAAGACACGAGTTCTCATCTATGAGACTATCAAAAATTAAAAACTATGACAACACCTTCTGCGGGTGAGACTGGTGAAAAAGGCACTCTCATATACTGTTTGCAGGAGGAATGCAAATTGGTAAACCCTTCTGAAGGGAAATTTGGTGATGGCTAACACAACTAAATATGCACTTACCTTTTGACCCAGCAATCCCATTACTAGGTAAACAAACCTCTGATATGAGAATACATAAACACACAGTTATTTACTACGGCACTATTTATGATGGCAAAATACTGAAAACAACCTAAATATTCATACTAAGGGAGTGGTTGCATAAGATAACTCCACATAATGGAGTACTATGAATTGTATCAAAGAATGAGGAAGATCTCAATGAACTTCCTTGGACAGAGTTTCAGGGTACAGGAAGAGAAAAAGGCAAAGTGGAAATGACTACAAATAGTATGTCGCCCTTCAATTAAAGAAAAAAGACAAAAGAAAAGACACATGTATCTGCTCATTTGTGGAAAAGAATAGATAAAACAGAAATTGAAGAGATTTGTTACTTATTAGTAGTGGAGTGGGTGGGAAAATGGTGGAGAGAGAGGGGGAAACAAGAAGTGACACATCACTGAGTATACTCTTTTGAATACCTTTCCCTCTTACAACCATAGTAATGAGAGAAGAAAAAATCCAGAAAATGAAAAGAGCATCAGTGAGATGTGATACAACTTCAAGTGGCCTAATATAGAGGTAATTAGAGTCTCTGAAGGAAAGGAAGACAGAAAAAATATTTTAACAAATAATGGCCAAAAACTTTCCAAAATGATGAAAACCATAAATTCACAGCTCAATAAAACCCAAGCAAAGAAATATTAAGACAATTATAGCAAGAGACATAATCAAATTATTCAAAACCAGTAATAAAAAATATTAAAAGTTGTTAGAGGTAAAAAGACCTGTTATGTATAGAGTAATAAATATAAAGATGAAAGACTTCTCATCAGAAATTATGCAAATGAGAAAACAGTACATCTTTCAAGAACTGGAAAAAACTGTCAATCCAGAATTCTATACATGGCAAAAATGTCTTTCAAAAATGAAGGTGAAATATTGTTTTTCAGACATACAAAAGCTGGAAGAATTCATCATCAGATTTGCACCACAAAAAAATATTTTTAAAATTTCCTTCAGGAAGAAAGAAATTACACCAAATGGAAGTCTGGATCTACACAAAGAAATGAAGAGCACCAGAAACAGTAACTACAGGGGCAAGTATGTAAGACTTTTTATTATTTAAATCTTTAAAAAATATTTTTTAAAAGATAAAACAAGATTTATAAAATTAAAAAAGAGAATGGACTGTTTAAATAACAGCAATGTACTGTGGGGTTTATCACATATGCAGAAGTAAAATGCATGACAGGAGTAGGGCTTGTGAAAGTAAAATATGTGACAAAGATCAACTCCAGCTCAAAAGATCAGGAGTAGGGCTTGTTCTGTGCCACAGTGGAGCCCGGAAGAACTGAGGGCTGATGGTACAAGCCAAGGTAGACTCAAGTGCAAGCTCAAGATGGCTCTTCTGATCTTTCCTGTTGACTAGTTTTGGGAACTGTCCTGTGCCTTGGTTCTTGATTTAGATATCTTAGTTTACTCATGGAGTGAGTCTTAGCCTGAACCTTCACTATTGTTTGCCTGGAAAGAAAGCTTGGCATTACCTAGAGGTTCAACTGAGGAAGTGTGCTACTCACACGTGGCGAATTAGTCCCAGGCTTATAACTACTGCCCAATGGAATTCCTGGCTGACAGAGGCATCACCCCACAGAAAAATGAGTATTCTTCTTATAAAAAACCCAGCTTCTTATACAATGGGTTGGCAGGTTGGCACAGGGTTTAAAAACTTCTTTACAGTGTGCAGCAAAGCTTAAGGAACTGGTAACTGAAACAAATTAGGAATGGTAGCGTGGTATTCTTAAAAAAAGAAAAATTGAAACAATAAATACATTAGCCAATTTCTTCTTTCTTTCTTTTTGACCCTTCTCTTACATACCTCACCCGCCTGAGATTCAGAAAGTTCCATCAGGAAAGGAATTTCTGTGTCAAAATTAGCAAAGAAGCTAGTCCACTGATGTTCAAAAGCCACCAAATCCTAGGAATAAAATAAAAAACGTATATACATAAAGGAGGTACTTTTAAAAACCAGAATCATGAAATTGTATTTTATCCCAACATACCAGACCATTTAAATACATTGTTTTAAAAGGTAATAGCACACTACTGCTATATTATCACATGGATGAACCTCAAAAATATTACGCCAAGTGAAACAGGCCAGATATAAAAGACCACCTGGTGTATAGTCCATTTATATGAAATAGCCAGACAGAACTCTTGGTCCTAGGCTGGCGTCCGCCAGAGGCTGCTCTCTAGTGGCTCAACATCCATATCCACAGCACCACAGCGAAACCAAGGAAGGGCTGGCTTAAGGACAAGGCAAGGGAAAAGCAGCCATGTTTGAACAGCTTCTCTCAATGTTCAAAAGGAGACGATTCTGGGGCTTTCAGACAGGTTACATCCCCATGCCTAGAAAGCTCATACCACCTTCTCTTCTGTCAGGAAAATTCCTGATCACCACAAGTAACTCCTTTGGGAAGCCATCTTGGGCAATTTCAGACAGTTACTTTCCTTATCCTCTATGTTCCCACTGCAATTACAGCAGTTACTGGTCTAAAAGCCCATTAAAGAGTATAAGTTGGGGCCAGGTCTACCTATTTTTGTGACTTTAGTGTAAGCACTGTACCTGAGAAATGGCAGGGATTCAAGAATTGCATTTGTTTAATAAGCTAATAAGCAAAAAATCCCACAAAAAAACCCAAAGGCATGACACTGACTGGTCCAAGGGGAAAAGAAGATAAATTTCAATATTTAAAAGTAACTACATAATGTAACAAAAATGAGAAAATGAAAATAATAAAACCAATTAAGACTACTACCTGAAGTATCTAAGACACAGAAATACAAACTGTTTTTACAAAGTTGGAAATATACTTTGCTTTACTTTTCCCAACAAACATACTTTAAACAACTTTGTAAATCAAATCCAATTCTAACATATCATCTTCAATGACAGTACAATGGCACACTGACTGGATTTATTGAATCAAATTCCTATTGTTGGACATTGACTTTATCTTCAGTTTTTCAGTTTTTATAAACAATGCTTTACTGAACATCCTTCACTGGCATCTTTAATTATTTTCTTGAGATATCTTACTAGATTGAAATTGCTGGTTAGGGATCCAAATTTTCACTCCCAACAGGCATTTATGTATTCCATAGAAGGCCTTACTTTTACTCTCTGGCAATTGACAACACTCCTTCTATCCTTTAAAAAATGTCTAACACTTTAATAGATGGAAAAGTAGCACCTCACTGTAGTTTAATTAGTATGTCTATGAGTACTGTAAAGAAGGAAAATTAGTTAATAAAAGAAAAAATATATTTCTCAGAGGAGTATGCATTTCCCACTGTAGGACCTGACCAGGAAGTGTGGAGATGTAGGTTCTTTGGACATCAAAGAGCTGCCAGCAGTTCCCTGTAGGAATTAAAGCCTAGACACCAATTCTGACTGCAAGATTCAAGTCTGGGCAAAGGGGAAATAGAAGTACACAGAAAAAATATCTGGACAGTAGAGGGAAAAGGGGGGTTTAGAGACATTTAGAGATTATGAAGTACCTGTGTGAGTGAAGCCAAAATAAAATACAGTAGATTTTAAGAAGTCATATGGTTTTGTATTGCTTCCTTTTTAATAATTTTCTAGAGATACAAGTAAATGACTGGAATTGCATTTTAATTACTTTTGGTTATTGGATTCAAAGTTAATTAAGAACATTTGTAGACTCACCACAAGAGATCCTTGAACAAATTTATGGTCATTTTTATACATACTTATAGTAATTTTTATCCTACTTGGAGTTTACTAAGCTTCATGGATCTGTGGATTGATGTATTTCATTAATTTGGGAAGTTCTTGGACATTAGCAACTGAAATTTCCTGTTTCCATTTTCTCTACCCTCCTAGGACTCCAATTATACTGTTAAATCATTTGACACCGTTTGACAGATACTGGGTGCTCTGTTCTATGCTCTTGTTCTTTTCCTCTTTGTCCTTCAGTTTAAAAACTATTGGCCTATTTTCAAGTTCACCAAGTTCTTCATTTGTGTTTAGGTGGCTGTTAAGCCAATCTAATGAATTCTTAATTTCTGGTAAAAAGTATTTTTCATGTTTAGCATTTCCATGTAGTTCTTTCTATAGTCTTCAGGTCTCTTGTTGAATTTTCTCATCTTTTCTGCATGATGTCCCCTTTTCTACCAGATTCTTTAGCACTTTTATTAGTTATTTTAAATTCCTCATTGGTTAATTCCACTATCTGGGAGACTTCAGTTGACTGTTTCCTTTACCACAGATCAAATTTTCTTGCTTCATGTCTTGCAATTTTTTAAAACCATATGCCAGACATTCTGTATAAGAGAACAGCAAAAACTGATATTTTTACCTCTAGAAAGGTACATTCTTTCTTTTGTCAGACTACTAACATAGGGATCTTAGTCAATTTGATCTGTAATTGATCTGGGTCTTATTACATTTGGAGTTGATTTAGTTCATCAGTAAAATATTTTGGATACAGTCTGAACTTCAGTAGAGATTTTGTTCAGAGCACTGGCAAGGTTCTTGAAATCTCTTTCTGTTTTACAGCTGAGCCACTAGCTTTCTGGATCATGGATGAGCTCTCCCTGCGTTACAAGCGGACTACCAGCCTTACAGGTTGCTAAGGCATTCTCTTTGCTTTCTAGAACCCTTAGCTCCGCCTTCATAGGGAGTGATCTGTTCTGCTGTCTTGCCCTCAGCCTTAAGAGGCAGCTGCTTACTCTGTACAAACCTGGAATGCCTCCAAAGGGTTGTACTCAGCTTTTCCGCTCTAATCCAGGAGATGGCTGAGTGGTCAATTTCCTCAGGAGAGAAAAGAGGCAAACAGTTCTTAGCTTTCCTGCCTAGCTCTTAGCCTTTGGTGTACTACACTCTGAGCACTTATGAAGACCTAGGAGACAGAGTTGACAGGTAGGTGCTGACTCATCCTCACACAGCTTTCAAAAGGTCAGCTGAATTCCTCTTATTCCTGATTCCTCACCCTCCACCAGAAATGAGAGCACCATCCTACGAAGGGCACTATTTTTCTGGAACTGAGTTCTTCTAGCTTTCTTTCCATCTGCAGCTCCTGATGTTTTCCTTTTTTCAATTTAAACTATCATTTTGTTGCTTATCCAGATTGTTTTGGTTGTTATGGTGAAAGGAATGATCTTTTTCAACTTTGTATATCTCTAACTAGGAATGGAAATCTATGGTCATTTTATTTCTTATTTTGTGAACAATTTCTGCTGTCCCTCAATTCTCCACTGTTATTTTTCTTACTGATTTGAAAGAGATCTCCATAGTGTAGTGGGTATAAATGTGCTCAACCACATTTTGATATAAGAAACATCTTATTAATTTAGTATTTCTAAATAAATTATATCTGGCTCTAAGCTTTCATTCTTCAGGATAGATGAGAAGTTCAGTAACACTTCCTCTTCCTCATGATATCACCTAGGAATACCAATGCATGGGAAGTCGGAACCCAGGAAAGGGCCTATGACACACCCGTGGTGATTACCACTGTTACTCTTTCAGCTGCATGATAACATTGTTGGTAAAGGTGCAATTAAAGATGCTCTCTTGAGTGGTTCCTCTCTACTGACTGCAGAGATGTTTGCAATGTTCTCAAAACTACACTGCTTTGCCCAGCCTGCATGTGTGACCTGTTGCATCCTCACACTGAGATTTCATGCTAGTAGGGCTTGGGTCTCAAGACACTTGGAGAAACTCCTGAATTACTTATCTTCTTTATCTGTGGTTAAACTTTCTTTGTCATTCTTGTGTTTTCATACTGTAAATTTTTGCATTTTCATTTTTTTCCCCATAATTAGGCTAGCCATGGGAATGATGATTAGGTCTTTTCAAAGAACAAAAAGTTCAGGTTTTATTTTTCTTTTATATTCATATTTAATTAGCAATGTTTAAACAGAATGGATGTTCTTTTTTTTTTTTTATTTCCCTGTATTATGTCCTTGTTCTTCTCTTTCTTTCCTCCGAACTCCCACTCATCAAAACATGGAGAAAGGGATAAATTTAACCATGGATGTTCAATTTTATCAAATGCCTTTTAGGCATCTATGGAAGCATCATAAATGGTTCAAAGGAGAAAAATCAGTATAGTGATTACATCAGATTTCCTGATAAACTAAATACTGAACCTTTAGTAAGCTCTACTTCATTAGAGAATATTCTTTTAACATGATACTGGGTTGCTAATATTTTGCTTAAAACACAGGCATTAACATTTACAAGTGAGACTGGTCTGTAGTTTTTCTTTTTTTGAGTTATTTTTGTTGGGTTTTGATATAACTAAATTCATTAAAAGGCTACAAGCTGTTCTTTTCCTATGCATATCTATCCATGGCCACTGAGAGACACTACTGAGCTGCCTAATGAAAGTACCTATTCCTGTAGTTTTAGTTTTGTTTGTTGCTCCTTATTGCAAATTGCTTCACCTACCTTAATTTTTTCTTCAAAGTTCAGATGTACAATTAATGTAGACCCTTTAATCCAGGATCAGCAAATTATGGTCTATGGGCAGGACATATGGACACAATTTTTGTAAATAAAGTTTCCTTGGAACACAGACACGCCCAATCATTTAAGCATTGTCCACAGCTGCTCTCAGGCTACAATGGCATCGTTTATTTCCAAAAGACACAGGACACACAAAGCCTAAAGTATTACTATCTAGCTTTTTACAGAAAAGTTTGCTGACCCTTGTTCTAATCCATGATTCCTTTAAGCCATACTTCATCTTTTTTTATCTTTTTATGCCAAAGAAGGAATGCAAAAAGATACCCTCTGTATTGTTTTTCTAAAGTTAAGACCAGCATAAAGAATGTCTGTAGGTGAAAACCTAAACCCCGAGCCAGGCAGAAGGCCTTGCTCTTATCTCAGGTGAGGTTTCCTCAGAGTGGAAGGGGTAGCATCACTTTTCTAGGCCCCCTTCCACCTCTGAGGAGTTCAAAACAACAATCAGAGAAGAAACTACTCAAACTAAAATATATCTTGCATTTCTTCAAGTTAAATACCACTACTGGATAACTGAGCTGGCTGTAATATTTATAAGTTAAACAGGATGGTTCCTTACTTCTGAAAGCAAACTCTCCAGAGACATAGGATCCATCTTGCTGTAGACATTCCATAGACTTAAACTCACATCCTGCAACTGCAAAACAAGGGCAAAAACACTGAAATAACTGAGTCAGTATTACTAAGACAGAATTATTTTCAGACATTCAGAAATTACTATCTTGGTGAAAACTCAGTAATTAGAATAATAAATAAAATTTTTATCAATTATATTTGAACCTATACATAT